AATTAAATATAACTGTTCTGTTGTATCATTTAGCATCTCTCTCCATTGATGTGAGCAAGGTGTTAAAGTCTCCTACTATTATTGTATTCTCATCAATTTCTCCCTTTGTCTATTAGTATTTGTTTTATGTATTTGGGTGCTCCTATATTAGGTACATATATGTTGACAAGTGTAAAATCCTCTTCTTGTATTGATCCTTTTATCATTATATAGCGTCCCTCTTTATCTTTATTTATAGCCTTTGCTTTAAAGTCTATTTTGTCTGATATGAGTATTGCAACTCCTGCTTTCTTGTCATTTCCGTTTACATGAAATATCTTTTTCCATCCCCTCACTGTCAATCCATGTGTGTCCTTTGCCCTAAGGTGGGTCTCTTGTAGGCAGCATATTGTAGGCTCTTGTTTATTTAATCCAGTCTACCACTCTATGTGTTTTGATTGGAGCATTCAGTTCATTGACATTTAAGGTAATTATTGATACATATGTATTTATTGCCATTTTAAATTTTGTTTTCCAGTTGATTCTTTGTATCTTCTTTGTTTTTCTGTTTGTGGTTTGGTGATTTCCTTTTATGCTTGTGTTCTTTTTGGTTTTTGTGAATCTATTGTATGTTTTTGATTTGTGGTTGCCCTGTTATTCAAGTATGTTAACCCCCTTTCCTGTATCTGCTTGCTTTAGATGGGTAGTCATATAGGCTCAAGCATATTCTAAAAAAAAAAAGAATCTGCATTTTCTTACCCTCCTTCCCCACATTTTATGATTTTGACATCTTTTTTACATCTTCATGTTTATCCTTTTGCTGTTCCTTTTGTTTATCATCACTTTCACAAGTAGGTTTTGTTTTTTCTTTTTGATCTGTATACTGGCTAAGTGATTTACTTTCCAGTTGTGATTTCCTCCTTGTATCTTCTTGCTTCTTTTCTATTTAGAGCAGACCTTTCAATATGTCTTTTAAGATAGCTTTAGAATTGCTGTATTCTTTTAGTTTTTGCTTATCTGAGAAATTCTTTATTTCTCCTCCTATTCTAAATGATAATCTTGCTGGGTAGAATATTCTGGGCTGCAGATCTTTCCCTTTCAAGACTTTGAATATATTTTGCTACTCCCTTCTGGCCCTCAGTGTTTTCTGTAGAGAAATCAGCTGATAGCCTTATGGGGGGTTCCCTTGTAATTAACTCTTTGTTTTTCTCTTGCTGTCTTTAGAATCCTCTTTTTAACTTTGCCCATTTTTATTATATGTCTTGGTGAAGGCCTGTTTGGGTTCATCTTGTTTGGGACCCTCTGTGCTTCCTGTATTTGGATATCTGTTTCCTTCTTTAGGTTTGGGAAGCTTTTAGCCATAATTTCTTCAAATACATTTTTAACCCCCTTTTCTCTTTCTTCTCCTTCTGGCATCCCTATTATATGTAGATTGGCATGCTTTATATTATCCCACAGGTCTCTTTTATTGCTTTCATTTTTTCTTTTTTTCATTTGGCTTTCTGTCTGCTGTTTTGATTGGGTAATTTCCATTATTCTGTCTTCCAGATCACTTATTCTTTCTTCTGTATTATTCATTCTATTCATTGCCTTTACCTCAGCTTTCGTCTTGGCAAACGAATTTTTAAATTTTTCTTGGCTCCTCCTTATAGTTTCTAGTTCCTTTTTACAGTAATTTGCATTCCTGTCAATAGCCTTTCTTAATTCTTTCAGTATTTTCATTACCCGTTTTTTGAACTTGGCATCTATTAGACTGATGAGGTCTGTTTCATTGTTTGTTCCTTCAGGGGAATTCTCTTGGTCTTTTAACTGGGAGTAGTTCCTCTGCTTCTTCATTTTGCTTGTATTTCTCTTACTGTGTGAGTTTAGGAGAAACAATTATCTACTGTAGTCTTGGAGGGCTATTTATATGTGGCAGTGTCCCTGCGTAGCTTGTGTGGGTTTAATTTTTTTTGGCGTGAGGGTGGTTTTGGGTTTGGATATTTGCTGTCTCTTTCCTCCGCGTGTGCTGGCTGTCTCCACACAGCCAACACCAGTCCTCTCCCCGGGGTCTGACCTCCGAAGCCTGAGCCTCAGCACCCAGCCCCGACTCTCCCCAGTGGACAAGCAACCCAAGCTGGGGAGTGCTGGCAGCACTGACCTTCTATGCAGGTCTCTCTCTGCAAACAGGGTGCCGCACTCTCCTCCGAGGCTCTGAAGTTCCCTCTCTGTCCCAGCTGATTTTGCTGCCAGTGAGGGGACTTCCCCGGGTGCAGGAACCTTTCCTCCTTCACAGCTCCCCAAAAGGGGTGCAGATCCCATCCAGATTCCTTTCTCTCTCTTTTGTTCTTTTTTCTTTTGCCCTACTCAGTTATGTGGAGATTTTCTTGCCCTTTTGGGAGTCTGAGGTCTTCTGCCAGCGTTCAGCAGATATTCTGTGAGAATTGTTCCACATGTAGATGTATTTTTGATGCATTTGTGGGAGAAGGTGAGCTCCATGTCCTACTCCTCTGCCACCTTGATACGATCCTGTTATGATGCCTTTTACAACATCCTATGAAGAATACACTTTAAAAGTGAATCACTTTTCAAAATAGTTTATTTTTAACTTTCATACAGTCCTCATATTCTAGATCATGTTTGCTTAAAGTGAGGCATCCACATTCATTCAGTTGCTTGGGTGAAAGCCAGACTCGGTGCGCAGAGATTGGTGGTGTGAAGATGAATACAACGGTCCTCTAACCATCCCCACAGGGCACTGGGTTCCTACTGTCTCACGTTCGGTGTTTGGCAGGGATCAGGTCTCATTCAATTGGCAGCTCCCTCTCAGCCAGCACCTACCTGCATACACAATAGGTTCTTGATAATTACTCTTTAATTGAATTGTCCTAAGCTTTCAGGAAAGAGAAAATGGAAGGGAAAACAAGAAGTATAATGAGCTCTTTTTGGACTAAGTCTTGTGCTTGGCGATTTATGTATATTTTCTCATTGAATCCTATGACGTTAAAAACACATCACTTCTTTTTTTACAGGTAAAAATTGCTCAACATAAATGTCTTTAAAAGGGTTCCTATACTTAGATTGAAGGTATCCTAGTGTTTTAGTTTTTGCCTTTTCCCCCCTGTTAAGTGTGTTTCAGGGACTGGTTTATTTACTCTACAATAAACCAATGAGATAGGCCCTAATACTGTTCCCGTTTTAAAGATAAGCAAACTAAACTTAGGGTAATAAACTTCTACTGTCATAAGGTTAGCAGCATAGCTGGATATCCTGCGTGTCATTGTGTGCTTTTAAGCACTGTGGACTGGCTCTCAACCCTATGACTCTCTCTCTCTCTCCCTCTCTCTCTCTCTCTCTCTCCCCCTCTCTCTCTCTCTCTCTCTCTCTCTCACACACACACACACACACACACACACACCTCCCAGCCCTCAAATCTAGAGCCCCACCCCACCTGGGAGGGGGAGGCTTCTCAGGCTTATGGTTATTAAAGAGCAGCCTGGCCAGGGTTGAAAAGCACTGTGCTAGGAGCTATCTGGAGCTAAGGTTCCTTCTTCTGTCAGTCATACTTAGGCTAATGGTTTTAATTAGCTCCTAGACTGAGGGAAATGTCTTACATGGTTATTTATGGATTCCTGCAACGTTTAGCCCTGTCCCTCAAACATAAGGCGTGCTAGAAGAAAACGCTGAATTGGATATGGAGCAGTAGTTTTCAAGGACACCTTCATAGGTAGTAGAGCCTAAAGCGGAACAGGAGTTCGCTTCTGACGGTGAGCACAGGAATGGCTTAGGCTTGGCGTTGTTTATTTTTATGCCTCATGGGAGTATTTAAGAATGTGATCCTTGGCACTGCTGTTTAATATTAATAACACCAGTAGAGAATGGAGTTGTTTTTAATAAATAGCATTATATTAATATATAATAATACAGTTAAATCCCTCTCATCAGTAGGTTTGGGTAAATGTCTTTGGTTAAGATGAAAATGCAGAACAGGGCACTATATTTCGTAATATGCGTTTATTGGTAATGTGGGAACTCTGGAGGCCTCAGGAGAACAAAGACAGCTGCTCACTTTGTCCTTCTTCCAATGATTGGGCAGTGCCTCATGGAGGACAAGCTCAAGAAAACCACAACATTTGAAGTAACTAACTGTCACAGAGTGCCTCAAGAGGGATTGATGTCAGAGGAACTTTTCTACCTTGTAGATTGGCTCGTAACGGTCACTGTGGAAGATTCCCCAACCCTTGAGTAGATCACTGAAGAGGTTCCACTGAATTCCACGAATGTTTGTTGAATCCCTGATACATTTGTGTTAAGGGTGGTGGAGACTAGTAAGACAGCAGCAGTGCTCCTCAGTCCTGTCTTCATTATTGGCCCTCCCCCCGCCCCCACCAAAGACCCTTTGTAGACATTTTTTCCTAATCATCTCTCTGCAGGTACACTGTATATGGACTTATGTGCTGTACGTATAACCCTTGCTTTATACTTAGAAAAATAGTAAGATTCCGCCCCCAGCCCCCCACCATTGTTGCCCCCATGGGGATTCTGTCTAAGGTAACATCCCTGTCATTAACACTGGGTAGGAGTCTTTGATTGACAGCAGTCTCGGAGATATCCTGGTTGGGAGGATATGTAAACATTACAGGAGATCTGAGCATGTTTCTGTCCTTGGGCCTTGTGCCCAAGCTGACGAGGATCTGGACTAAAGCCCTCTTGGTTAAGTGAGGATCTCAACGAGAACCTGTGACCAACTTCCTACAGTTTACCGGGAAAATTGTATCATAGTTCTAGGAACGAGCGTTATCATTCTTACTCATGGCCTGCTATACCCGTGCAAGAGTAAAGGAAGAAAGCTGACGTTCTTCTCTGTGGGTCTGTTGCTAAGTGTGTGTGATCCGTGGGATATGAAAACTGAGATAAAGAAGGACAATGGGTAACAGAAATCCATCTTCCCTGTTATTCTGAACTATGAATAAAACAATTCTTAGTGCTCTTTATCTCAGTTTTCTGTGTCTTTTTTTTTTTTCTTTTTATTCACTACACAGGAAGCATCCAGGATGCGGGAACATCGTGACATTTGCACAATTTTTATTTATCGCTGTGGAAGGCTTCCTCTTTGAAGCTGACTTGGGAAGGAAGCATCCAGCTATCCCAATAAGGTATGGCGCATTGAAGTCTCTTTTTAGCCTTTTTTTTTTTTCTAAGTTAAGAGCTTTTCTGGTATGTATACAAAAGGAATATGAGGCATCGTTTTATAAGATTGGTACCAAATATATCAGTAGAATAATTCATTTTCTGAATTTAATACATTGTGACACTGCAGGGAGCCTATTCTTAGAATAAAATTCCTGCCATGACACTTAAAATAACTCTGATGGAGGCAACTATATATATGTGTGCGTGTGTCTGTCTGTGTCTGTCTGGTATATGGTCAAAGGCCTGGTGTGACAACCAATTTTTAACCAGTTATGCATATTTTCCTCTTGTTGGTAAAGTTATCAAATATGTTAAGAGTGGTATCATTGTTACTTTTAAAAGACTAATGGCTTTTGGAGATAGAGGTGGTAGTTACACAACATTGTAAGTGTACTAAATGCCACCGAATTGTTCACTTTAAAATGGTGGATTTTATGTTATGTGACTGTCACCTCAATCAAAAGAAAATGAACTGCAAGCTAAGGTAAAATTGTTGCTTCCAGACCTCCATCCATTAGTCCAAATTTGCATAACTGTACTCATGGAGCCAAACAGAAAACAGGGCAGATCTTATAACGAACAGTGTATTGAAAACAGCATTCTTGCTGTGAGAGACTTGAAATCAAAGTGTATTTTTTTTTTTTTTTTTTTTTGCGGTACGCGGGCCTCTCACTGTTGTGGCCTCTCCCGTTGCGGAGCACAGGCTCCGGATGGGCATGCTCCGCGGCCATGGCTCACGGGCCCAGCCGCTTCGCGGCATGTGGGATCTTCCCGGACCGGGGCACGAACCCGTGTCCCCTGCATCGGCAGGCGGACTCTCAATCACTGCGCCACCAGGGAAGCCCTCAAAGTGTATTTTTTAAATTTAATTTTATTTTTGTTTTATATTGGGGTATAGTTGATTTGCAATGTGTTAGTTTCAGGTGTACAGCAAAGTGATTCAGTTATACATATATCCATTCTTTTTCAGATTCTTTTCCTGTATAGGTTATTACAGAATACTGAGTAGAGTTCCCTGTGCTGTACAATAGGTCCTTGTTGTTAAATTAAAAGAAAGAACCACACACACACAAAGTGTAATCCATCCAGTTGTATTTAGTAGGATAGTGTCACTTAATCCCTTTGAGAGGGACGTTCTGGTGTGAATGCATCCAAGGACTGGCTAAGATTCATTGGTGTTATTTTGCAGCCTTCCTGAGTAGCCCGCTGTAGAAAATCTGGCTGAATTTTGTTACTAATATTGTATTTTTAAATATCCCAAGGTGATGCTAAATATTCTGAAGACTTTCCCTTCCCCCATTGGCTTTAGTATCTGCATAAAACTTTCTGCTCCCAAGACCAGCATTTATATCAGAGTAGGAACCCCAGCATTTTTTGATTCCTCTGGTCCTTTCCCTCCTCCTTCCACTATTTCTTTCTTCTCTGGCTGCCACTAGCACAGTTCAGGAACGTATTCACTCTTGCCATGACTTTTATAATAATAGCCTGGTTGGCTGACCTCCTGCCTATCACCTCTTCATCCCTCCATTTCAACTTCCTACCATTGTATCACGACACCCACTCCACATGCACTCAGGTCACCGTTAGATTCAAAGTGAAGCCCAAACTCCCTAACCTGCCCTTGGAGGCTCCCCGTGAACCTGCCCTAACAACCATGCTCCCATGTGTGCAATTCGTGCCGCCTATTTTATTTTCTATCTGGGAAGCCGTAATCAAAATCTTGCTCTTGTCATTCATCCCCATGAGCGATTTCTAGGCAATACTATGTAGGCAGTGATGTGGAATAGTTGGAATTAATTATCCTGAAAGAACTTGATGACCTCTATCTCCAGATGGCATCTTTTCAAGACTGAACTAGGAAAATAGGGCAAGAAAGCTTGTGAAATCACCAGCAGTATATTATTTATAAGCTGTGAAGTAGTTCTCACCAGTAACTTTGCATGTGTGTATTACTGTGTTCTGCATTCATTGTAAAGCTCTTCAGACTTTCCAGACTGTGTTCTTTTAGCCCTGGTGTGCACGGGCAGATAGCCCCCTACCTCACCAGGAACGCAAAATTGGTTCTTGTCAGGGAAGATAACTTGAGACTCACTGCTGTCACCTTCTCCAGATGTGCAAAGGTGAAAAGGATGGGGATCTGTGCTCAAAGACTTTCGACAATTCCTGAAGAATGTGGAACCACTTATTCACCTTTGCCCTGCATTCTTTAGCCATGTACTTCAAATATTATTTTTCCCTTGTTGAATGTATTAGGTTGAATCATATGAAATTGCTGATGTTCAACCCCTTTTGACCTACCAAAAAACGGCATTTTAAATGGTTTAAGCTGATATGTATGAAAGGCATCTTAAAAATTATGTAATTAATTAATTTATTTATAACTTGTTATTTGTGTTCATCCCTTTATCTTTCTAAATGATTAGAGTTCCTGGATTTCTTTTAGTTTTTGCTTTTTATTATTATTTAAAGACCTATACATTCTCAAAAAACAGGGGCCCTAATTTTAAATACAAATCTATGCAAGTCAAATGATGCCCTCATTAATTTGGAGGCCACTGGTTCAAGGTAGGATAATTTTAACAGTTGCTAGGGTGAAAGTAAGCCTTGACTTAGCACATCTTTTCTTTAGAAACAGTGAAAATTAATAGTATAAACAAGTGTATAGAGGAAATATTTGAGAGTTTAACAATTTTTAAGTTCTTTAGAGCTACATGAAAATTATATACAAAGAACTGATACAATAATAAAAATTATCCATTCACTTTAAAAAACCTATTGCTGTCTATCAGGTAACTCTTTTTGAAGCCTCATTTATAGTTGCTGTACATACTAGAAAAATACTAAAATAGTGTTTCTTGGAACACATTCTATAGTTCAAACTTTTTCCACGTTATTCTGGCTTTGTGAAGTATTTTCATATGTACTTGGTGCTTGACTTCACATGACAATAGTGATACGATCTTTTAATCCAGAGGAAATAAGCACAAGACTTTTTAAACCAAAAATATGTATTTCCTTCTCTACTTGATTTTCTTGAAATCGTGGATCCTGTGTGATGAGCTGTCGTCTCTGCCTCTCAGGTACTACGCCATAATGGTGACCATGTTCTTCACCGTCAGCGTGGTCAACAACTACGCCCTGAATCTCAACATCGCCATGCCCCTGCACATGATATTTAGATCTGTAAGTCTGCCGGCTCATGTGAACATGTTCCTCTGGAAAATGCAGCCAAGTGGGTCCATTAAACACATGACAAAAGTAGAAAGAGCCTATAAGGAGTAAAGTCTAGGGTGTAAGAATAGGTCTCATGGGTGAATGAGCAGAGGCTGGCTTTCATCTGAGAAATAGGGCAAAAAAATATGAAAGTGGGTGGTTTACTTTTATTTATCAGAGGTCTTACAGGTGATTAATAAAAGGAAGGTTAAAATTTCCCCGGATAACAGATTGTACCTTTAATTTTCTTCATCTGGTTGGTTTTATATTCGTTCTTGCTATGAATGTTATTTAACTTATTTCTCATCACTCTTTGTTTCTTCCATGAAATTACGTTGACTTCTAGTACATGATATAGATACTTCTCTTTTCTGATTTTTTTTGAAAATAGAGACTTCAGATAATTACATAAAAGGAAATTCTTGATGAAGGTAGGGTTTCTCCCAAAGCAGCAGAGGTTTTCATCTTTGCCTCATGCATGGTGGGAGAGCTAGTTTGTATATAAATAAGAACAAAGTGTTCCCAGAAGAACAGGAAAGAAACTCAAGAGGGAATATAGTTAGGATTGCAGAAGAATGCAAAATAGGTAAAAATTGGAATGATAACTTTTCTGTGTGGCCTGAGATTTTTGTGAGATGGAATGTGCTGTCCTTAAAGCAACTTTCCAGAGCTGATTATAAAGACTGAGATGACCTTCCGAGCACCGATCACAGAACAGACTTTCAACAGACACTTGCTGATTGATTGACAACTTTCCAGACAAGAGACAGATCCCTGCACAACTTCATTCAGTCAAACTGTGGGCGAGGAGAAGCTTGTTAAAGGCTCCTATAAATCAGATGGGAAATTCGACAAAAATAGGTCTATAACATACTTCATTCCTGCTAGCCCAACTTCAGCTTTGACCCCTTATTGAGAATTGATCATTTTTCTTCTCATTGTCAACTTTAAAATGTTGTATTATTTTACGTGTAGATCGTTATGGTTTGTAACTTCTGCCATCCTAGCAACATGGTGTACCTCACTGATCATTCATCCTAACCTCCTCCTTTCCAGCTGTTTCCCCCACCTTGCCCCTGTTCATACTTATCTTGAATTGTGTTATCTCCTTTCCCTAGTGCACTAAAACTCTGTTGTCTCTTTTCACAGGGTTCTCTAATTGCCAACATGATTCTAGGAATTATCATTTTGAAGAAAAGGTAAACAATACTCTTTTATATTTTGTGTATAGGAAGGATAAGCTGAGCCCCAGCCATAAGCTCATCTGGATTCCTTTTCTCATAGTGACGATAAGTTTGTGCTTGGCCATCTGCCTTGTTTCTTAGTTCTGTCTGTGACAGTGGTGCTCATTCCTGAGGCAGTGGACCAGGTAAGAGGCCCCACCTGTGGCTGTGGAGCAGCATATTCTCTGTGTAGAATTAATAAACTCTTGTCATCGTTGAATCTTCAGTACCATACTAATCTACGAAGCCAATTGATCTAGAACTTCACTGTCCCACGTGGTCACCACTGGCTACATGTGACTATTTACATTTAATTTTAAATATTAAAAAGTAAATAAAATTAAATATATAGTTTCTCCATCTCACTAGTCACATTTTAAGTGCTCAGCAGCTACATGTGGCTAGTGGTGACCGCCTTGGAGAGCCCAGATGTGGGACGTTGCCAGCTTCCCTGGAGTTCTGTGGGACAGTGCTGTCCTAGGAAGCGTACAACATAATGAGCTAAGAAATAATCATACATATTATAAAGAAAATTCCTAACAAAGGCCCAAGTGGCCAAACAAGATGCGATGAAAAGTTTCAGGACCCTTCTTTGTAACTGTGGCCAGTGGCTCTCTCTGGGTACGGCTGGGAAATATCAGAAGTATCTGGGATGCTGTTGCCAAGCATTTGTCTCTCACCTTCATTCGGAGCCTCACTCCCAGGGAGGAGAGGTGTGGGGCAGAGACAGCCCGTGCAGTCTGGAACACTTCTCAGGGGGAAGTTCATCCTCACTGTTGAGACCAAAATCGTGCAAGTTGATGCCTGCTTTTCAATGTATTTAGTACCCAGCCCGAAGTATTAAAACCCTCTGTACCAGCTTGGAAAGTAGCTGTCAATTCAGTGTGGGAAGCTAGAGTTTTTAAGTAATAAGGGCTGTGTCATGAAAAGGCTCCTTATCATGAGCTCTTTGTCTCCTGAGGCTTATGTATTCCCCAGATAAGCACCATTGTAGTTGATTTCTTTTCTAGGTTCTCTCTATTCAAGCACACGGAGGTAATGGTCAGGTTCATTATCTTTGAAGGGACCCCTGTGCTTCTTGGTAATGTAAAGGTCACATTGGGACAGACCCGTGGTCTTTCCAACCTTTGATTTTGGCGCATAGCAGGGATACAAAAGAACTTATTATAAAAGGAATGTATTCTCCTGACATACCCCAAATGTCGGGGGGCCTTAAACATTGCAGTTTTCCTTAAGAGCTTGTTTTTAGTCTGTCATCTGGAATCTCTCTAAGTCTTTTTTGACTCTCTCCAGTCTGTATCCCCCAGAGAACAGGAATTTCCCTAAGCTAACTGTCTAATATCATGGTTTAGTAATTCTCTCCTTTTGTTTATCTTGAGTAGCACCCGTCAAGTTTATAGTGTGTTTCCTTTTCCAGGATTTGAAGACCAAATCTATATTCACCTTAACCATGCCCTTCATTATTGTTTAGGCCTGAATTTGAGACCTCCCTATCTGATCTTTGCAGACTGGAGAGTTCCCTTATGTTTCTGTCTGCCCGCAGCAGCGCCTGTGTCCTCGCCCGCCCCTCTTCTCTAGCGGGGTGCGCTTGGCCCCTTGCTCTGCCCCGCAGCCAGTTCCGTTGGCCATTTTCTGAGGCGCTGTGACCAGAACTATACAAAGTATTTGAGTAGAAAACTTCAGATGTAAGGTTTTAACTTCTTTTCATTCCTGTCTGAGGCCTTTTGCTTTATCACCAAGAGCCTGAGAGGGACGTTAATTGATACTATTTTAGTTAATGTGAAATGCCACTCTTATTACTGCTAATAGTTCTATTAGTTTCATATTACTTGCTTTATCCAACTATGCCAACATTTCAAAACAATATTTAAGAGACGTAAAGACAGTGCCCTCCCCTGCTGCTTGTCCCTGATATTCCTTCCGCCCTTCCTCTCATGCTGTGTCTCTTCACACTCAGGTCTGGGCCCCAGAAGCCAGGGAAAGCAACAGGCACCCCTTAAGATCTAGCAGGCTTTCATCCGGACTCGAGAGCAGGATGGGCTGTCATGTCTGGCCTGTCTTTGTTTTCTGATGAAACAATCTATTGGTGCACAAACTACGGGAAACAAACTGTCTTAACCACCACCAGAAAGGGCACTGTTTAGAAACTAGTCGGCATCCTGATTCTTTTCACGCACAGACTTACGTGGACTCTGCTGGGACGTGATCCCCTTGATTGTGTTTTGGTGACTTGTACTCTCATGCACCATCTGACTGTCAACGTCCTGTGGAAATCTGTATCTGTGCTCTCCTGAGGTGCTCTTTTTCTTATTTTCGCAGATACAGTGTATTCAAATACACCTCCATTGCCCTGGTGTCTGTGGGGATATTTATTTGCACTTTCATGTCAGCAAAGCAGGTGGTAAGAATCTGTTCACAAATGATTTCTATTCACTACTTGCCTTGGGGGCCCAGGTACTTATTAATGATATAATAAATGTAGATGCTCATGTAATACAAGGATTTAAATCTCTGAAAGAGAAGAGTAGAGGGAAACGGGTAACATAAATATTTCCCTTGTATTGAGGCCCCTTGAATGTAGTTCTGGTCTCTGTACCTCGTATTTTTTCTTATTTCCTAGACTTCCCAGTCCAGCTCGAGTGAGAATGATGGATTCCAGGCATTTGCATGGTGGTTTCTAGGCAAGTACAGTAATTACAATAAAGCTAATTGCCTCTGCAGTTCTGTTTTCAGAGGTTTCTCCTAAGGGATATGTTTCTTGGCAAGAAGCTTTGGCTAAACAAATTATGCCATAGAAGAGAGAGGCATCTGGGATTATATATCTCTGAACCTTAGTGTTCAAGAAACGAAAAAAAAAAAGTCTGTATTCATGGTACCGTGTTCTACAGCATGGATGCTGTCTTGGTTGCCACTGGTGTAGAAAGAAAAGTCTGTGTCTAGTTGTCCATCACACTCTCTGGGAGCAATAGAGTATCATCCATTTCTTTATGATCTGTCTGCTGAGCAGAAGCTTCTACAAAAGGAGGGCACATTACAGCAGTTGACTCTTTAAATTTCCAAGGGACCCATTTCTAAATCTTAGATTTATTTTCCTCATAAGCTGTTCCACATGGCAATGTTCCCAAACCTGACGGATCATCACAATCTCCTGGGGAGTTTTTAAAAATACAAATATCTCTTTGTTGAATTAATTAAACAACTCCTATAGAGCTTTGCCCTTGCTGTGTATGATAGAGAGGGGAAAGTTAGTGATGGCAATAAGATATTGAGACTGACCAAATGGAAGAAAAGTAGCAATGAAAGAACTATTCTCCTCGCCTCTTGACTTTGAAACTTTATCTCTTTAGATTGTTGTTCTTAACATAGAAAGCTCTTTATCAGCTATTAGAAAGATACTTTATCCAATAAGAACTTGCAAAAGACATGAACACACAATTCATAGGGACAAAATTAATGTTCAGTAAACTTATGTTCAGCCTTGCTAGTCTAGTAATCAAAGAAATGCAAATTGAAACCAAAATGCAGTACCTTTTAATTTTGGTCTCTTATATTGGCAAGATAATAAATGATTATTCTCATTGCTGCTGAGGATGCAGTAAGGCAACCATTTCCATATAAACTGTTTATGGTAAATTGACACAGCCTTTCTGGGAAAAAAAGTATGTGTATGTATTGAGTTTTTAAAATGTCTACAACCTTTGACTCAGTAATCCCCCTTATGAGAGTGTATCCTAAGGAAATAATCAACATTTTGTTTAAAGATTTATGTACTAGAATGTACATTGATTTTAATGATGAAATAATTGGAAGTATTCTAACCATTCTCCTATTATAAGGCATTTAAGTATGGTACATCCACATGATAGAATAATATGCAGCCATACTTTTGAAAAAATTTTAATGAATGACTTGAAGGAAAATCCAGGAAAAAGGTCATGAAGAAAGCAAGATATAAAATTATATATTCATTATGATCCTGTCTCAGCATAAAATATCTACCTAAGTATATACACAGAGAGAGATAGCAAACTGTTTAGGACTGGATGGTAATATTGTGGTTGATTTTTATTTCTTTTTAAATTTTGTACATGTTGCACATTTAGTGTGTAATGTTTGTAGAACTTAATGTTCTTTAAGAAAAGATCTGGAAGTTAGCAAATGCAGGCATCTTGTAATTCGATGTTTGCTTTTTAGGTATTGGGGCACTGACTTTCGCTCTTCTGATGTCAGCAAGGATGGGTATTTTCCAAGAGACTCTGTACAAACAATTTGGGAAACACTCCAAGGAGGCTTTGTTTTATAATGTAAGCAGTTTCTTGAACCCAGGGAAGATGAAAATTATTGAGTCGTTATTGTTATTGTAATATGTTATTTCAAATGTGATATGTCATCCTTCTGATGTAGTCGAAGGATCAATTTATTATCCAATAAACTGTTTTGGGGCCCACGGACTTTGGCACTTTTAATAGGCTGCCACAGTTCTCTACACGAGGTGATCATTATCAGTCAGTGTGAACAGAACATGTCTGCCAACCAGGAACAACCCCAAGGGACAAGGAACCCAATGTTCCTATAGATGAAATCAAGTTAAAACCACTATGGAAACCTAGAAAGGGAATAGAAGTTTCAGAAACCCCGTGCCGAGGAGAATATGTGTGGTCAGGCGTTTGGGAGAGTTGGGGAAGATGGGATTTGAGGAGTAAGTCCCTCCGATGGGCTTTATTCCTTTGGTGGAGAGTTTAATTAGTTAATTATATACGCTTTTGCTTCTTGTTTGAAACTGCTGATCTAGAGCCACCTCCTCTAACTTTCCTCTTTCTCTCCCGTCTTTTCTGTTGAAATAATGCCCGGCTCCTCAAGGTCATGGTGATATCATTGCCTCCAGATTCAGTAATCTCAGGGATTCCTTCCCTGCCAACCGTTTGTACTGAAGGTGCAGACAAACAACTTGAGACATTTACTTAGAACTAGAGTATGCGGCTGGGAATTAAAAAAATAAAGGAACATTCTGTTTGGTTTCCGTGTTTCTTTTAGCATGGTACCTGGTGTATAGTTAACTGCTTGGTAAATGTTTACTGTGATTCCTTGTTATTGTGGTGGTAGTAGTGGTGGGTTGTTGTCAAGCACCTTATCTTTGCTTACCTATTGTTTCCCCTTCCTCTTCAATCTCTTCTTATTCTTGTCTTCATTTCTTTATCCCTGACTTCATATTGTCCTCCACTCTCTTTTCCCACTAGTTTCCTGAACACCCTAAAATCTGCCTGCACGTTCCATATAATTTTTAAATCCGTTATAGTAAATAGTAGAAATAGTAAAATGTAGCAGATCCTTTGGGCAGAATGACTGTGTGTTTCAATTTTCCATTCCCTTTTGTTGAGGAAAGGATGCTGGCTCTATTTTTTTGTTTTGTGTGTAATGACCATCAGACTTCAAAGGGCAAGAACTGTAATTTGGGGGTTGATATCATGCCCTACAATGTAAGTGGTCAGTAGCACTGGATACTTTTAACTTAATAAATAAGTCTGACTTGCTTTTCTTGATATTGCTTGTTAAACAACTTGTAAAACTTTCAGTCAGTGTAAAGATACTCTAATTCTTCTATAATGTTTTTGCATTTAAATTTACATGAAATGTTTCTTCCCCTAGCATGCCCTTCCACTTCCTGGTTTCATCTTCCTGGCTTCTGACATTTATGACCATGCCGTTCTATTCAATAATTCTGGTGAGTTTGGGGTTATCTAGTAGAATTACCTAACAGTTTCAGAGGCAGCGTCTCCATTTTACTCTCGACTTGACCACTGCTTTTTTCATGGTCTTATCCAAATCATCTGTCACCCTGGAAACAGTCCCCATTCCGCCTTCCTGGAATATAGTGCCATTAGTCAGTGCTTGCAGCAGCAAAAGCCTTTATAGGCACTTCTCAATCAATGAAGTAAGACAGTATCTTCAAATTTTGTGTTTTGCTGTGGAATTTGTGTTTGCATTTGAATGTGCAATGTATGATGTTCTGAGAATGCAAACAAATAGTAATAATACTGCAGTGACTGGAGCCGTGAGAAGTTGGGCAGCAGTCCAGCTTCTTTACTCCTGTTCTCTGCTGGGAAAGGCAGTCTGCTCACAGATCCAGGCCGAGCTGCCTCTGAGCAAGGAGGAACAAAAATGATGACAGGGCTTTTTCCTAGTTACAGGGCAGATAGGCAGCAGGAGTAAACAAAATTAGTTCAAATGTCTACAGTGTAAGTTAGCTATTACTTTTTTTTTTTTTTTTTTTTTTTTTTTTTG